ATATATATATATACTTATTTACAACTACGCGTTAAGTAGAGCCATCTACCAACACCGACCACCAACAAAATATTTGTTAACTATTAACAAATCTTATTTGGTGGAAATATATACTTTTTTCAATACACAAAAGCTTCTTAATAGTTACAAAACCTTCTATCAGTGTGGTAAGTTGTTTAAAATATTATATTTTACGAAAATAAATCTAAGTTATTCTTAACCTATAATTAACACTTTCATTCAATAGAAGACACGTAAAATATTTTATTATTCAACTAAAAGAATAAAAAATAATTTTTTTTTCATTTAAATGCCATTATAATTTCTGAAAATTGATAAAATGAAATAAATTTTCATGTTACAATCTATAGTAAAAAATTAAAGTAGCTACTTTAAAATTGTATTAAAGTTTTAAAGGCGAATTACATGAAGTTTTATGCAATTGTGTCTAATTAGATATAATTCTCTACAATTGTATATAATTATATATAGACGATATACAATTATATATATCATCGTATCTAATTATATAAAATCTTTTTTACTCGGGAGGTATTACGGGTAAAATATTGAAGATACAATAAAATGACAAGAGATCTTATTTGTAGGAAATTTAATCTACAAAAAAAGTTTATATAAATTTTCTCATATCTCTAGAGTACTTTGTTTCTAATTTTGATTTCAATTTTTTAGAAATAATTTCTCCATACAGCCTTCAAACTAATTTTGGTTTTGGATCAATAATATTTCATTCAAACCCAATAGTTTTTTTTTCAGTGTAGCAAAATACTTTCTTATCTTATTTATGATTATTATTATTATAAGAACGTATTTTCGGAAACAAATAAAAATATAGTCGAAAATGTGAAAGCTCAAAGATGCACTGTCAGTCATTCGACATGTTCAAAAAGTTGAGTGTCACTAGTATAGTAGACTAGCGTGTATTATATGAAAGGCATCACATTACGTTCGTGACATCTTATTTGCTCCAAGTTTATCTTCTAGAAATAAATATATATATATTTATTTGTCTATATATAGTTAAGAAGACTATAGAGCACATAAGCTCGAAGAAATTCCAAATAGTAATTATTGCAGTCACGTTCTTGGAGAATTGCCATTACTTAAACTATTTATTATTAATACACTCATAATTCTAACTGTACTTGGTGAAGAAAACTTTATCAACACTAAATCATTCGGGAATGTTGCCTCGAATTCCGCCCTCACATTTTTCCACGTAACTTTTTGCGATTATCGAAAAAATTCACATCTGTAATTCGAATCCTCAGGGAAAGGAGCTCGGAGTATCCAAATCCATATGGATTTTTTTCATAGTGGTATAAATAGTTAAAATATAAGGAAGATATCCCGATTGAAATGTTTGCAAAGGCTAAGTATTGCACTACTTTAAATTCCTGGCATGGCTACTAAAGGCCAATAAAATAAAAACTATACATTTTTTATCAATTTGTGAATTTGAATCGAATTTTTGTCTATAAAAGGCTGAATAAAATATTACTCATACAGACGGAAAAACTTGAAAAGTTACCGTATGGTTTATAGCTAATAAAAGACTCCTTAAAAAAATTTAATGAATGCATGCCAAATATTTTTAAAAATAATCTTTTGCGCCAGTTACTAATCTACTTTATATAATATCGTTTTGCGAGCGAAAACACATGCGATGTGAAAAAACCTAAAGATTTATGAAAAAAAGTACTTTGGCTTGATGATTTTTTGATATTTGTAATTGCAATGTACATAGTTTGGATACATTGGAAATAAATTTTAAAAATCATATTGCTAAAATAGGATCAATGTTCAATTATTTTATAAAAAAATGACACGGACACAAACTTATAGAACCAAAAAACTATTCAACCTTTCTGATGGTACTAAATTTAACGATAACAACCCATTTTATAATAAAGATGTGCCTGTCATAAAATTTTCCTTTTTTATTAATGATAAAAATTTTTATTTTACATATATAAAAAAATTCACAAGCACAAGACAAAATAAATATAGAAACAAATTTTATCAAAAAGGCACAAATTCAGATTATAACCTTTTCAATGATACTAAATTTCACTAAACAACCCCATTTTATCATAGTGTACATGTATACATATATACTTTTTTTTTTATTACTTGAGTCTTCACTTACATACGTTAGGATTTTGATTTTCTTTATCAACATCTTCAACTACCGCTTCAGTTCCATCATTTAATAAACTTCGACGAATGATAGCTCCAGTATCTTCAAAAAGAAATGGTTATTGTACGTTTACAGTTTTACCTACTACTATTAAGTTATTTACCTGTCATCGGATAGAAGTAATTATTATCATCGAGATATATTTTCCCGTAAGATTCTATACATGAATGAGTTTCTATAATCTCGACAATTATATTGCAAACGCCACATGTATAAACAACTTGTATTTGCTGTAAAGAAATATATTTGTAAATTTAAATAAAATTGATCTAAAAATATAAACAAAATTAATTTTAAAATATAAAATTAATTTTAAAGTATAAAATTAATTGTAAAGTATAAAATTTACTTTCTAGGACAAAATTAATTTTCATAAAAAATTTCTTTTTTATTTATTTCATAAATTACAAGTTTTTTACTACACGGTGAGAAATTTCTATTATTTTTTATTCTGCATGGATTTTAAATTTTACAATGGTGCATATTACTAGTGAACCTTATTGACTCAGAATAAAATTTTACAATGGCCCATAGTAATTTCCGAAACAAATGAAATCAGACATAGCAAACGGTAGAAATTGAAATGTACCATAGTAAAATGAAATATGCAATAATTTAAATTTCCGAATGTACTATAGCAAAAAAAATAAGAAAATGTTTGTAAAAAATAAAAAATTTTAGAGTAAAAAATATTTTTAGCAATCAAAAAAAAATATCAAACCAAACAAGATTTTTTTTGTTTGTAATAATTTTTAAAAAAATTTTTTTAAAATATAGTTTTTTTTATTTGTTTTCTATTTTTAATTTGAACGAAGGATTTATTTTGGCAGTTAAATACAAATTCAGTATTAAAAAAAGTAGTTTATAGTTTTGAGTAGACATATCTGCAATTTTAAAAATTTCTCGCAATATAAACGCAAAATTTTGAAGTCGCAGAGATAAACGGATTTAAATTTCGCGCATCAAAATACATTAAGGTAGTTGTCGTGGTTAAGGCATACCGTCAGAAAATTCTAAATTTTTGTATGCTTATTAAGGACATGATACAATTATCCTTAAAATTTGAATTCGATTGACCACGTATAACCCGAGATAAATTCAATTAAAAATTGTATATTTAACATTGATTGCATACGCTTTCTGCAGCTCTGTACCAGTTTCTTAATTATAAAAAAAAACTAACTGTCAGAAACTTTCAAAAATCTGACAGCCTTTTAGTGTATTTGTTGTGAGTTTAAAAAAAATTTTTTGACTGTCTAATTACTTATAAATAACGGATTAAAGTTCAACAATTTATGAAAAAGTATATATCTATACGGATCCGGACAGAAACAGTACAAACACTTTTTCTTGTCTTGGAATTATTTTCAAGTTTTTAATTTTCCCGCGTTTTTTCGAAGAGTCGAGCGCCCAACCATGTTTCAACAAGAAACTAAAAGAAGCACCAGCTGTAGGTGCGGCCTCATGCAGTCGCTAGTCGCTCGTTTTCAGCGACAAAATCAGTCACGTGACAGTATTTTAGATTTCCCGCGGCTTGAAAAACTCCAGCGACAAATCGCTGCGACGACGAGTAGCGACCTCATAATTTATGACAGATATTTACGTTAGTAAATATATGAAAATCCAAATTCGATTTATCGATATCTCGGAATGTAGTTTATTCCTAACCTTCCTTACTTGTAATAACAACAAAAAATAAGAGTAATAAATTAAGTAAAAATTAATTATCTTCATAACTCAAAAATAAAATCCGTGATGTCGAGTGTAATTAAATATCAAAAGTGGATTTATGAGTGTCAACAACTTATTTACAAAGCTGAAATTCGAAAAATTCGGCGAAAAAGGATATTAGCAGCTCTCGTTCTAAATGAAATTTTAATGTGTAAAAATAAAAAAAATAGCAAAAAACAATTTTGGATTCATCCGTTATTTAAATTAAGATCCGACCATGGTTTCTTCGAAGCAGTTTTTCCTACACTCTCTACGCATCCAGATAAATTTGAAAATTATATACGAATTTCAATAAGTCAATTCGAACAGCTTTTATGTTTAGTTGGCCCTATGATAACAAAGAAGAATGCAGTAAGGGAACCTATTTCAGCAGCAGCACGACTTCTAATAACTCTACGGTAAATTTGTTTCATTTTTCCGTAAAATATTTATAGTTGACAACATACTGACTATTTACAATTTTTATAGATATTTAGCTACCGGTGATTGTTTAACATCTTTATCCTATCACTATCTAGTTGGGGAGACTACCACAGCTAGCATAATCACAGAAACATGTAAAGCTATTTGGATTTGTCTTAAAGACGAAGTTTTACGGTATCCTTTGAATACATCTGATTGGTTGAAGATAGCTCATGAGTTTGAAGAACAATGGCAGTTTCATCATTGCGTAGGCGCTATCGACGGGAAGCATATTCAAATACGGGTAAATGGTTAGTATGCAGTAGGTTATAATGCTTATTAGTCCATGAGATTTTTTTTTTTCAATTTTTTATTATTTTAGTGTCCTGACAATGCTGGGTCTTCATACTATAATTATAAGAATCATCACAGCATTCTATTATTGGCCATATGTGATGCAAACTGTTCATTTACATTTGTTGACATCGGTGCTTATGGTCGACGCAGTGATGGCGGCATTTTTCGTGATTCAGAAATGGGCCAAAAGTTTGAAAAACGAGAAATGGACTTACCGGATCCAAAAAAGCTAACTGTTGATGGAGTACCTCTACCATACGTACTAGTTGGTGATGAGGCATTCCAATTATCAGATTACTTACTTCGGCCATACCCAGGGAGAAGTGGATTACATCAAGAAAAAAGTATTTTCAATTATCGTTTAAGCCGTGCTCGAAGAACAATCGAAAATGCTTTCGGTATTATGGTTAGTCAGTGGAGAATATTGAGAAAGCCAATGGAAGGCACGGTTGAAAATATTGTAAGTGTATAGTTCAAGCTATTGTATACCTTCACAATTTGATTCGTAAAGGTGAAAATAATGATACCCATTGTAATCTGGATCACGAAAATGCCCACGATTGTTTGAATGAGGAGCTTCAGAGAGAAGTTGAAAATAACTCAGCTTTTAGAAAAGTAAGATTTCCTGGAATAAACAATAGCAGTCGCTCTGCAATTACAATTCGAAATGAATTTTGCGATTTCTTCAATGCTGAAGGAGCAGTTCCTTGGCAATATAATCGTTGTTAAAATGGAATAAGTAAACACACACACACACAATATTTGTACATTTAAATGAAAATATTCTTGAATGATTCATACAATTGCATATAATTTTTTTTAAATAATGTCATTTGTAAACATTGACTTTATAACACCAATATGATTTGTACAGTTAAATAAAAAGTTAAAAAACTGAAGTATACTTATAATTAATTTAGTTGCAGTAATTTCTAAGGGCCACCTTTTCAATGCAGAGTTAAAATTAAAGTACGGTCGCAAATATATTCATATGCATGCAATAGATATATCCGGGATGATGATTAAAACCAATCATAAATCGAAAAAAAGGCCTTTAACTTTTCATGAATTTACTTTTGGTAATGCATAGAAAAGAGAAAATTATTAAATTAGAAAAAATTGAGTGTACTATTGGCAAGATTGAAATCTTAATGAAAAGTAATAGCAATGAGTAAACATTTATTTTTATTAAAAACCGGTGATTAGGTAGATGAATTGTCAATATCAATTGTCAGCAGCGAAACGCCGGCACTTCTGGTGAACCAAATTTAAAATCTCAATTATAGTTTCCATTTTTTGTTGCTGTGGCAATCGTCACAAATAAGTACCAATTCCTATCAAAAAACCGTCCACATCTATTTGTGGAGCTTGAGGTAATACAGGGGCTGGTTCTTCTTTGGCAATAGCATCGGCAATACGATTAAGTATGATAATCGTATCATCATCTTTTGTAGAACGTCTCTTTGGTTTTTTATTTGGCTGAACATCTAATTTGCTTAAAATTTCATGAAAATTATAAGAGTCATAACAAAAGAAACAATATATGTAAAATTAAGAAATGATATGAACGATATGCACCAAACGTTTGACTGCTCTCTTCATTGACTTGTTCCTCGATGATTTCACTTAAATCGATCGATTGATCACATTCATTTTCGTCATGCTCCCCTTCGACAACTCGGCTGACATTACTACTTGTTCTGTATCCAATTATGATTATTAAATATAAATTATAAATGAAGTTCAATTTGCTTAAAAAATGCCAAAAATAAAATCATTGCTATTGTAACTTACGGTCGAACAAGGCAAGTATCCCGTAGAAATTCCATTTGGGCGTAAAATTTCCATTTCTCTTTTTGGTTAACGCGTCCAGAGCCACTTGGTAGTTGTTCAGCATGAACAATTCGTCGGTATACATCTCTCAAGCTTTTAAACTTTTTTTTAGCATCCGGGCCACTAATTTTTCCTAACTTAATAGAATAAAAAAAAATTTGAGTATCATACGCTGAAGAAGATTAGAATTTAGTTGTAAAATTCAATACTCATTTCTAGCAATACTTGTTTATAGCGCAAAATTAAAAATTATTTTTTCATTTTCAAATATGAAACTTAGAGTTTTTTACTATAAAATTTTTGATATTTTGTATACCATTGAGTGCTGTCGAAACTTCTTCCCACAAATTGGAGACCGTTTCTCTACTTCGTTGTTCGATCGGGATTGTGAAGTTCCACAATGGGATTCTCTTCTCAACCTCAAGAATGAGAAGCTCAATGTCAATATCGTCTAACTTTTCGCTTCGTTTCGTAGAAACCGGTCGCTTAGGAGATTTTGATGGTATTGCTTTTTTTAAGGAGTTCTTTTTTCCGGCTAATATTAATGTTGATCACATTGTTTATTATAATTATGGCAAAAATTATAGTGTACATGTATACATATATACTTTTTTTTTATTACTTGAGTCTTCACTTACATACGTTAGGATTTTGATTTTCTTTATCAACATCTTCAACTACCGCTTCAGTTCCATCATTTAATAAACTTCGACGAATGATAGCTCCAGTATCTTCAAAAAGAAATGGTTATTGTACGTTTACAGTTTTACCTACTACTATTAAGTTATTTACCTGTCATCGGATAGAAGTAATTATTATCATCGAGATATATTTTCCCGTAAGATTCTATACATGAATGAGTTTCTATAATTTCGACAATTATATTGCAAACGCCACATGTATAAACAACTTGTATTTGCTGTAAAGAAATATATTTGTAAATTTAAATAAAATTGATCTAAAAATATAAACAAAATTAATTTTAAAATATAAAATTAATTTTAAAGTATAAAATTAATTGTAAAGTATAAAATTTACTTTCTAGGACAAAATTAATTTTCATAAAAAATTTCTTTTTTATTTATTTCATAAATTACAAGTTTTTTACTACACGGTGAGAAATTTCTATTATTTTTTATTCTGCATGGATTTTAAATTTTACAATGGTGCATATTACTAGTGAACCTTATTGACTCAGAATAAAATTTTACAATGGCCCATAGTAATTTCCGAAACAAATGAAATCAGACATAGCAAACGGTAGAAATTGAAATGTACCATAGTAAAATGAAAAATATAGTTTTTTTTTATTTGTTTTCTATTTTTAATTTGAACGAAGGATTTATTTTGGCAGTTAATTTTATTATAAATAATTATAAACACAATATATAACTTTTAAATTATTTTTTATTATAATAATAATATATTATTAGAAAAGTGTCGGTTGCAGGTTAACCATCAAATGTTTGTTTTCATCTTAATTTTTCACGGTAAATTATTAAATATTTTATTATTTAGGAATCTTACAAATTTTTATTAACTATTCATATGTTGATGGATTTATAAACTAATATTTATTTAAAACTTAATGTTTATTGCAATTTTCATAACACCGTTAACCACTGCTGATAGCGTCTGTACACTTATGTTGACAAAACAAAGCAGCACGAAAAAATGAAAGAGCGCGCGTCGCGACTGACGCGCATACGTTTACTATGGGACATTTGAAAATTTCATAGTCACAATTTTAAATTTAAACCGAGTACACGTGACTAAATGTCAAATTTTTTAATAAATTTTTATTGTCGACTGAGCAACAGAAATTTTACTATGGAACTATAATGAAAAGTTTTAAGCACACTCACAGTTTTTGTTCAGTCAGTTTACGAAAATTTTTTATATATGTTTATGTAACAGTTACATGGTCAAATTTACTATGGTCCCTAGTAAATATTGATTGGTACAATATGATATTCTTAAATTTTTATGGTAAAATTTTGAATTGAGTCATTAAGGTTCAGTCTTATTATGTATGCATAGTAAATTTCTACAGAAATTTCTCACCGTGTATAAAAGTGAGGTTAATCAAATTAAATAAATCTTTACGGATTTAAATTATTTGTCTCTTTTTATTTATTACTTATAACTTCATCGATAATTTTAAAATATTTACCTCATCCAAATCCATCATCTTCAACAAAAATAAATTAACTCTAGTATAAATAATTTATAATTTATAAATATTTATATTGTTACCGTTGATTAACTGCTACTTATCGATAGTTAAAAATCGATTGTTTCTATATTATCATTTATATTATGGCTCCTATATACCAGCGACAAAGTTCAACATATCCAGCTTTATCGCTGGAGTTTTTCAAGCTGCGGGAAATCTAAAATACTGTCACGTGACTGATTTTGTCGCTGAAAACGAGCGACTAGCGACTGCATGAGGCCGCACCTGAACAAGCGTGTATTTAATAAAAAGCCAATATAGCTGATTAAAGTAGAGCTAATCACAAGTGTCTGCCGGGTGAAATGAATTAATTACAATTGTACGAAACAATATTAAGCTGCAATTTACAATCTCCTTATTTGTATACATCAAACGAGCAGATTAAAGAAAATAAAATGAACTCGAAGAATAAAACAGGTCACTTTGAATATTCAATTACGGACTTAACGACTTAAGGATAGTTATTCGTTTATTTATTAACATGGCAATTAAGATAAAAAATTAAACGAGTGATTATTCATTCGTCGTTTAAATGCCCATTGTTTGTTGTGAATAAAAATAATGGTTCAAATAGTAAAAAACTATTTTTCCCGATAATTAGAGTTGCTTAAAAGTGCAAGAAAAAAAATTTTGCAGCTAGTTAAAGTTCATCGTAAATTTTTCCAGTTAAATGTTTTCCACTTGGTCGAAAAACTCGGCTAGGAATCAAAGTTTATCGAATGAAAGGCACTTATTTGCTTGGCACTTTACACAGCGTTATATTTTCATTACGTTGGAATGTATTTTAGATCGAGAGTTAAATAAATACTTGTTGTAGCAGGTAATTGTAATAAAAAAAAAAAAACCAGATTATTTTTAACAATAAGTTTATGAGAATAAAAATAAAGTTAAAAGGAAATTTAATTATCGTCCAACAGATTGCCGTTGATGAAGTAATTAAAAAAATTTTATAAAAAAGTTTCTTAAGCTTTCTTGTTCCGTAGAACTTTTTTCTTGCGCTCATTAGTCTTCATAAAGTCTGATTGAGAAATAAAAAATAAAACTTCATTGCAAAGCTGTCATCGCCATCTTCGTCACCTGAAGAGTTTTCCTGTTTCGCATGTGCTCCGTTATTGGCAGATTCATCAAGTGACTTTTTTTTTTTTTACATTGTATACAGTAAATATTTTCCTTTAAAATTTTAGTCTTGTTTTAAAAAATTTATATTTCTTAATTAAAGAAAACTTTTACACTTGAATGAATTAATTATAACTCTTAAATGGAAATCAAATAAATCTTAATTTAACACACTGAAAAAAAAGTTTTTTTATACCCGGAATACTGAATATTTTTTAGTCGAGTTTTCTTGTACGAAGTAAAAGTCAAGTTAAAAATTTTAGATTTAAGAAAACTGGTATTTTAAATCTGAGAATACCAAGTTTTTTAACAGGACTAAAACTAAATTCTATGTTACCATAGCAACCGTGACGGTGGCGCCACTATTTTGTCATTTCCCTCCAATCTACAGTGTACGCGTGTTTTTTAGTTATTAGTTTACCTCGTGCCTGAGTCTAGTTACCTAAATATTTATTTCTGTAAATTAAATAATTTATAAATAATAAATAAAAGTATTAATCATCAATATTACTTCCCCTTACTCCCTTACTTATATGGATTCTTGGATGCAAAAGAAGTTGTCAGAGTGGAATTTATCATCTCCAACAAATTTATAACTCATTTTAGCAATACATTCTTTCCTTATAATCAATTTGTATAATAAGGTAGAAGACCCAGCTATTTTCACTGGCCTAGTTGTTTGACACTTGCAATTCTATTCTAATTAAAAAAAATAAAATGTTCTCAAAAAAACAATTATTTTAAAATTTTTTTAATTAAAATAAAATTGCAAGAGTCAATAACTAGGTCTTTTACCTTAGTAATGTTATTAGTAAATTAGTAAAATAATGCTATTAGCAGGAAATTGCAATTTTTTGACAACAATGAGAATTAAAAATAAGAAAAGAAAGGCTTAATATACTATTTTTCATTTTTATTAATTTTAGTGTGATAAATTGTTTATAAATGAAGAATTATAAAAAGTATAGTTTCTCATAATTATCTATCCTAAAGATTCGTGTCGACCAAGCGAGGTTAAGTCGGCCATATTGATTGTAGTATTTTAATAATGAGAATACCAAGTTTTTTTATATCCAGTAAACTTATTCCTATGGATAGTAAACTTTGGTATTCTTATTTTAGGAATACTTTTTTTTTAACCACAGGGAAAAGTTTTCTAGGAGGAAAAAAACTTTTTTTTCAGTGCACCTTCACATGTTTTTATTTATTGAATTTTTTTATTTAAAAAGATTGAATGTAGTTACAATCATTTTTTTTTTTTCTAATAAAAATAATTTTTCTATCTATTAAAAAACTTGTTTGAAAATTAAATGATATTAAATTAAAAATGTATATTTTTAAACCAAGGGTGAACCGATTTTAGAGCAAGAATTTAGAAACTAAGAATAAAAATCTTGAAACAATTAAATTGACTTTCTTCCTACGAATTTTTTTAGTTCAAAAATAATATTCTTGAATGAAGTTAATTTTTTTTTTCTGTGTATTAAAAAGAACCATGTGGTAATGTTATAATTTTTTAACGGGTAAAGTCAAAGCGTAGAACAATAAATTTAAAAAAAAAAACTAAATTTCCAAAAGTTGAGGTTAGACGGAGAAAAATATTTTTCATCTTGCCGGAAAATTTTTACCCTGTAAAATGAAATCTTGTGGAACTAACAGTTCTATAAATAAGACACGTGTACTTGTAAGTTTCGTATAATCTTTTCTATCCGTAGAACTCAATAAAGTTTATCGTCCCAAGTTATACAAGCGGTTAATCTTAATCCGAAAATCGTCTTGGAATATTAATGAGAATAATATGAATTATAAATTCCGCAATATGCTAAAACAGGAAATGGAAAATGTTTAGCTTACGCAAAGTAATAAGTAATAACATAATTTGCAGCTGTGTAAGCACAGCTCAGAATGATTTAGATTCGCGGTTTCCGCAAAATTTACTTTCCAATGTTATTGTTACACTACCTTCATTTCCTTTCCTAGATTCGGTCTCCTTAAATACTACTCTTTCTACCAACTTTAACAAATTCGAATCTTCGATTGTTCCTCATCGTGTATTAATAAAAAGCAGTTCTGATTTATGTCTCGATATAAATTCCGATACTAATGTAATTTATGTTTACAATTTACAAATTCGTCCACCAGTTTGCGAAAATAAATTCGAATGACATTCTGCATTATGTATCCTATTAATCATCTTCCAGACCTTGGTATCTACGTGACAGCTATTTCAATATTTGCATCCGTAAACCGAACAAATATTTTCACTTATTCATTGGAGTACCTTTCTTTAGACATTTATTGAACTTTCTTATAAATGTCTACTTATTACTCACTACTATCTGCGGAGCTACTATCGAGACTCATCTTGGAAACAATTTTATCCTTGACTGCGCACAGATAAAATGGATCAGAACTCATAGTTGATTTGATTAGAAAAATGAATTTCACTCATATTTTCATCAGTTTATTTTACAGATGTTATTTTCAGGGTCTTATATATTTTTAGTAGGCGGTTTTGCCAGCCAGAAGGATTTTTTACATGCGCCACCATGCGGTTGACTCTAGAACTAACATAAAAATAGTGTGTACCAATTGTTTGACTGCTTTTATGTAATCCTGTGCAATAGGGTGTGCCAAAATTCTAATTCTATTACACCGAAAGTGCCCAAACAAAGCTCCTGTTAAAAATTCTATGAAAATCAAATACAAACGTCTCAACTCAAAATATCTCAGGAAATGCCCAAACACAGCTCCTGTTCAAAGCGGAGCTGAAAATTTCAATTATATAAGGTTCTTGACGGAAATTGAATTTCGGCACACCCTACTGTGCAATAACGGTTACGTGCGTTAATATCCCCGGACAAAATATCCCCGACAAAATATCCCCGCGACAAAATATCCCCGGACAAAATTCTTAAAAATATAAAAGTTCATCAATAATAATTTAAAAATTAATCTCAACATTATTTTTTTAGTGTGTTTGTGGGTTTATTCAAAATTAAACCAACAAAAACGCGGGGATATTTTGTCGGGGATATTTTGTCCGGGGATATTAACGCACGT